CGCCGCCAGCACCGGCCTGTCGGGTCTCGGGAGGCGGGATCCCGCGCCGCCTGCCTGGGGCCCGGGCGTGGGAGGCGCCCGCGGAGGCGGGGAATTGAGGAGCGTGGACACTCGCGGCCCGAGGCTCAGCCGGTGGGAGGGACGGACCCGAGTCTGGCTGCGGGGGACAGTGCTCCGCGCGGGTCGTGGTCTCTGGTCTTGCAGATGCTAAATCGCGCTTCTTCCGCAGTCCCGGAGCCCGCGGAACCTGACCCCCGCCCCAGACACGCGACCGCCAGGAAAGGGACGTGGGAAGGGACGGTAGGTTCGTCGCGAGGCTTTCTTCGCCCCTTGGACGGCACAGGGGTGTGGGGGGTCTCCTCCCTCTTGGCCCCACCCCGCGGCTCCCAATGCACATTCCTATTCATGCCACAACGATGCCACTTCCTCTCTCCGGATTGTGATAAAAATGGATGTTTGTGCAATCAGGCAATCACCACACCTGAGAAGTTATTTCCACACCACTCTTTCTTTCCTTACCAAGCATCTGTTTGATCGCTGTCTTTACATCTAGAAGGGTAGGAGGCCTGGTCAGCACCAGAGCTGAGGGGCTAGGGACTTCCTGACCTTAAATATTTCTCTAAAAGGAAGCGTTTGCTGGACTTAAAAATATAGTCTTGTGTTTCCTGTTTAGCCAGCTCTCCCCATTTTTACCCGAGAAACCAACTGCACTAGCAAGGCTCCTGCTCCTTGAAAACCATCTTGCAACGAAGAAGAATTACGAATGAATGAGCTCATTATAAGGTTTAGGGCAAAGAGGTGGGTACGCCGTGAAGCAATAAACAGAAAACTGCGTGTGTATGTGTGTAAAATTACAGGGAGACACTAACATATTTCTGTTGTACACAACAATACATTTCTGTTCATGCAACTGAAAGAACCCACAAAGGTGCTGGGAAACCAGTAGTTATTATGAGTGTTAAAAAGAGATGGTAAAAGTTTCTTGCAGTTAGTCAATGAAGTTTCTCAGAACTAAAATAGACAACCAAATCTATTTCCTCTGAACACTTTCTTATGGAAAGATTCTGTGTAGGATTCTAGACTAACAGCTAAAAAGACACCAAAAATAAAAGAAGGAGCCAGTTGGCAAGGGTTCTGCTATTACCTGTGCTCAGGGGTCTTCTGACTCAGATACATGACTGCCGCGCTTCCCTCCTTTTGGAGTTTTCTTGGAGTAGGGGTTTTCTTTCCCAAGGTGTGCCAGGCCCACGGCTCATGGTGCCAGGTCAGAGTGAATAAGATGGATCTAGGAAAGGATTGTGTGAAACAGGGTGACAGATACTGCTCTTGGACTTCTGTTATAATTAAAAGAAGCTCAGGGCTAAAGGATCGGCTCTCCACCCCAAAGAAGAAGCCAGCTGTCCTTTAGAAGGTGAGTTTTCCTACAAACCTATTAGGGACAGAGGAGGTGAGTTATCATGATTGGCTCCTACCGGTGGATGACCATTCTCCATACGTCTGCCCCCATCTGCCTTGGTAGGATGGATTATTTCAAATCCTGAATGCAGAGCAAAAAGGGGCAGCACCTCTACCAAATGAAACTCTGTCCACAAGAAGAGAGAGCAGTAATCAGAAACAGTATCTCCCCCTCCGCAGAGAATAAGCTGTCCAGACATGGGACACTTCACGTTGGCTAGCACCAGCCTTGACCACTAACACCACTAACTAGCAGAATTTAAATCAAAACAATAATACCTAAAATTTTAGTAAATAAGGATAAACCATAAAATCTCTACCTTGTGGCCCTGTGATCGGTAATAAACGAATTACTTTGAAAACTCTGCTTGTGATCCTGTAGTGTGGCAAAGAGTCGGAAATTCCAACTCCTTGCTTGGAGTCCTTGGACAATGAAGTCAGTCATTCAAGAATAACTTCAAAGAATTTATGAAAATTCACATAGTTCTTTCTGAGGAATTCTTGTGTCAAGTTATTCTCACTGCAGAGGGTGTTTTTTCCTTTGTCCTTAAAATTGAGCCTTCACTTACAACTTCAAAAATGATAGGTACTAGAAGGCCTAAGCTTTAGGTACCTGAGCTTATACAAAAATAGTCAGTGAGTAGTCAGTCACTTTCCCAGAGTTGTCACCTCCAAGTACGCAAATGAGTCACCTGGATTTGCAAGGGGAAGTTGTACTAACCTCGAGAGTACTCTTTCGATAAGCCTACTTGCTCCAGCTGGGGCACACGTAACTCCTTACACTGGAAGTGAGCTCTGTGGCCCTGTCCCTCAAATACACATGCTTCATTCCATGTTTGAAACAGTAAACTTCAATGTTCAAGGCTTGATGGACAGTAGAAATACTGCTTTTGCAGATGTCCAAAATTAAAGACAAATAATTTGGGAATGAAGGAATCATTTCCAGGCTAGTGCCCCTTTGCCTAGAAACTGTTCAGCAGGGTTGAGAGCGTAGCTCATTGCAGTAATACTTGCTTAGCAAGCCAGAGGCCTTGGGCTCAATCCCCAGCACTGCAAGAAAATAAAAATAATAGTGAATTCAGCAAAACCAACAATATTTTACATCTATAGGATACAAACACATACACTTACTGAAAGCAAGTTGTTTTTAAAATTCCAGTTACTCAGAAATGCTGAAGAGTTTTTAGTGAATGGAAGAGTCTAGGAAATTTCTACTATGCAAGGGATAAGCTTTTACCTTAGCGAAGGCACTTAGTCCCTCCTGTGAGAACAGCCTAAAGGGGTGTGATTTCTCCATCCCCTTTGCTTCATAGCTTTGTGTTTTCTTACTTGAGCATCTCCCCCTTGTTCCTTGATTTGTGAGAGAGGTTTGGGGGAGCAGTTATATGGGTCTTCTGTCTCTGAAAATGACCTTTATGTCCAAAGGTTAGATCAGAGGATTTAACCTGGGGTTCCAGGGCTTCTTTAGCCCCCCCAGGGAAATAATTAAATACTGTACAAATATTTATACTCAGATGCAAATTTTCTTCCTCCTTAAAGACTAGATGTCACAATAATTATGCAACATCTAGTAATCTACCTTGAGAATGTTATAATTACAGCCCAGGGCCATAAACCTGAGCATAATAGTCTAATCTTGAGTAATGATGCCAATGATAAGATGTCTATATCTGAATTCTCTCAGAGGTTAGATAAAACACAAATGAAAAGTAGTTTTATGTGTGGTTTTCATTATAAACAGATGAAATTGAAACTATCCTTTGGGATTCTTATCAGTTATCCACAGTACTTTTAATTTTCAAATATAGTCCCTTATTTCATTGTCCTTTACAAAATAAGTAGAACGATGTTCGCAGTATACCAACCTCATTTTTCTTCTAGCTACCACTGTCTCATTTTTTTCTGGGGGAGGGGGGTCTTACTTCTGGTCCTACTCAGGGGGTCCCCTTGAATATATCAGGCTCTATATTTTGGAATCATAACTCCAAAATAAATTTAGCTATGACTTGTATAAATGATAGCAATCATTGTCACAAGTCTAAAACTTTGTCTCAGCACTTAGCAAGAATTCTTATCTGACTATTCAGACATGATGATAAGTACAGGAAAAAAATCCATAGATTTATTTCACCCCCTTTAACGAGGATGAAATATCCTTGCCCATTTCAGTTACCCTAGCTTGTAGAATATTTTGTCTCTTTCTATAAAAGTAGAATCAAGTTTATTTCTAGAAGACCATGTTATCCTCTCTTTTAGCCAAAGGCCTCTCCTCCTCGCCCTTTTCACTACCAAACATTTTGGAAGAGTCAACCTTTACCCCACATCTCTGTGTCTTCCCCTGTCAACCCTCCACACTCCACTGCCACCCCTTGACTAAAGGTACCCTCACCAAGGTCACCAGCCAACTCCATATTGCTCAAGTCCATGATATCCTTGATCTCCAGGCATGCTTGACAATCTTGAAGCTTTACAAACTCGCCCAGATGCCAACCTTCTCCTAACGTTCCTCTGCCTCTTTGTTTGTTGCACTGAAAAGGTTTTCATGAGCTTCTTTTCCTCGATCCTTGCCTTAAACGTAGGTGGTACTGGCTCTATTCACGACCTTTTCCATGCTCATACATGAGCATTTGTTATTTATGTCAACTTATCCAACAAATAGAGAGGCTCCAAAGATAATGTGTTTATTCAAAATAGCAGTGTAATGGGTACACACGTGGGCATATTCAAAGAGGCTGAGGCAAGGGGAAAATTTTAAAGGCAAAGTGACAGAGATTATATAAGCTGTTTTGCAACAATAACCCTTGGCTATAAGAATCAATAACAAGGGTGGCATCAGTCCCAAGTTGGGCTGATAGATGCTGCACAGATGTCCTTGTAGAAGTATTCTTTAAAAGACGGTTGCAGTAGCCTCTGTGCAGGTCATCATTTTGCCTGTGCTGCAGCTTCCTGCAGTGTGACAAGCGCCTACATGCCACAGGTGCCCCGAACTAAGACTCCAGCAGATCTCAGGTCCACACTTCAGATCCACAGAACATCACGTGCAGGGCTAAGGCACTGTGCAAATATCTCTAAAGCGCATAAACACAGACTTATGGCAATTCATTAGAGAAAAATCACAGAAAATTTTTTTGCTGTAAATGTCAGCACTGTAAAAAGTACTTATCCCAGTGCTTTAAAAATATCTTTAAACCACAATAAGAAATGCATTTTTTGCCATGACCCAAATATCTATACACACACACACACACACACACACACTGACACATCTTATTCTGTTCTGTTCCATTAAGTTTCAAGAATGTTGGTCACAACCTACTAAACTGATTTCCCAGTCCACGAAAGGATTGCAATCTGCTACTGTAAAGAGCCCAGTGTAACAGCACTTCCTTTGGCCAGAAACATGCCTGCAAGTGCCGGTCTTGGCTCTCCTTCATCTGAATGGCACACTCCAGGCTTGTGATTGCTCCCTCTGGCATTCTCTTTCTGCCACTTTTAGTTATTAAGCATTCCACTGAACAACTCTGACCCTAGATGGCTGACACAGGGCATGCTTGTGTCCTCTTAGAGGTATCACAAAAGAACCAAAGAAGAGGAATATTCTGGACTTTAAGATCCATATTGGCTGGACCTCCAGCCTCCTGCAAGAAATGGCAGAGTAGCCTGGAGGTAAAAGTCAGAAGGCAGTGATTGTAGAGCCTCCAGCTTGGGAACAAGTATATTATGGCATCCCCAGCATGTACTCAGATCCTAGCTGCCTGGATTGAATCTGATCTCTGTCACTAAGACATTGGGTGACCCTCTGTGACCCTCTGTGCACTATCAATAGTACTTGGCTCACAGGTTATGAGAATGGAATGAGTTACTAGGAAGAAGCACCCAGTCTGGCACCTATTCTTATCCATGAAGGAATGATAATGGTGGGGTGGACATTCCAATAGTGTCCCAGAGGAACTATGTTCTGAAGTCAGAGCAGTGGGAAAACATGTACAGGAGACCTTGCTCCAGCTCTCTCAGCACAGTAAATTCAACTTTTGTTTCCTCTCACTGACAAATCCCAACAAATGGAGTGCAAATCCATTTGTACATCCAGTGCCTTGCTCTGCTGGCACCTACACCTGGATATTTTGTAACCACCTCAAACCTAAAAACAATACAAAGTGACATCACCAGTCCTACGGCCTGAGTGTGTCCCCCCAATTCCCACAGACAATCTCCAAATTGATGGTGGTATTAAAATGTTATTACTTTAGGAGATGATTAATCAGGAGGGTAGTACCCTCATGAGTGGATTAGTGCCCTTATGAAAGAAGCGCAAAGGAGCTGCTCTCCATCTTTTTGCTTCTGTGTCCCACCCACCATGTGCAGATACAAGAAAGCCCATACCAGACACTGATGCCTCCTTTATTTCTCTTTCTCATTCATATGACTACTTGGAAATTACACGTGCATTTGTTTATTGACTCACTACCCCACCAGAATGTAAATTCATAAGGACAGGAACTTTCATATTCACCTAGGTTTCTCTACTTCCTGGAACCAGGAAAAATAAACAGTAGTGCTTTGTGTCTCCTTAAGAACAGAGAGAGTTTGTTGGGTCATCTGGCCCTTCCACTAAACTCAAAATGAAGATGTGGCTAACTGTTTTGTGTACCTTCAAAATCAAGAATAGTGTCTAGCACGTGGTAGATGCTCCAAACTGGATGAGTGCAACTGTCTGCATTTCTGGCTGCACACATTATTTTTCTTCATTTTCAAAGACCAAGACAAGAAAGTGCAGGTCTCTTTCATCTCTCCCAGCACAGGCCAAATCAGGTGGTAGTTTTAAATCTTAGGGGGAAAGCAATCCATTATGACTGACTAGAGGCAGCAATGTTCAGTGGACACTTGAAAGACACACACTGGGAAGCACAGGTGCTCAGGTATGGGGAGCTAACAAAGACAGAAATATTGGAAGACAATTTGAAGGAGAAGCTTACCAGACAGATTGCAGTTGACAGGTACAGTGTTTCAAAAAGGAAGCTGGGCTGCCCCTTGATCCTGGCACCACTTATACCTTAGGTTCACAAATATACCATCTTGGGAAAAGATCTAAACCCAATGAGGGAAGAAGCTAAGTACAGCAGCAATGACCAGGATGTTGTGGTCAGCACTCAGTCTGCCAACCACTGTCCCATGCCCAGCTATATTAACTCCCTTCTCACTGGGAGAAGGAGCTTGGTTAGCAAGGTATTTACAGATGGGGGCACTAGAGAAACTGAAAGTCAGAGTGTCACTCAGAGGGCCATGACTGAGTTAAGACTGGTAGGCCCTTGGGAATGAGGAACATGAGTACTACCCTAGTTAGCATCCTGGGACCAGAAATAGTGATCTGTGGCTGGGTGAGTTGCAGGGCTGGGTAGCAATTTCAAGCAGTGTTGTTGGGGGAAGAGAAAAGACACTGGAACAGTGCCGAGGTTGGCGCTTTCTCACTGCTCCCCCAAATGCCACAGAGCTCTGTACCCACAGGTTATCCTGCCCACCACACACCATCCGAATACCACAGAACTCAGTGCCCACATGGGAACCCTCCTCCCACCAGTCAAAAGCTGATGAACTCTGTGAGCCCTAGACAGCACTGAGTTCATGGGTTGGCAAGACATTCTTTGTAGGGTATAGACAGAGTTCAGCTCAGGCAGAAAGCCAGAAAGGACGTGCATGGCCAGAGTCAGTTGCATAGCACATTTACCTAAGTAGTATAGAAAGAGAGGATGTAAGCAGCTGCAAGGACTATCGTGGAGGAAGGGGACAGAAGTAGAGAAGCTTGTTCAAAAATCAGAGGAAAACTGTGTACTTGACCAGCCACGCTGCATCCTCCCCACAACCCCTTACAAAATTGAAGATGCCTGATTGTAAGACAAAAGTAAAAACCTCTGACTAGCTAAACCCACAGGTGTGTGTATATGTGAAACGGAGACTAATAGTTAAATGGTGCTTTACTTTAGATAGCATATTTATGGGTATGTCATAGCAAAATATTATTTGAATCTAGGGAAAGAAGTTAAGATCCAGATAAGCCAGGCATATAGAAGTGCAAAGAACATCTCCATGACACATCATAGTCACAATGCCAGAAATTCAGCACAAAAAAAGAATACTAACTATACTAGAGAAAAGTATCAAATAAATTATAAAGGGAATTCTATTGGAATAACAGATTTTGCATCATGAACCTGGAAGGCCAGGACAGCTTGGAGCAAAGTTTTTCAGTCCTAAAAGAAAACAACTTACAAACCAGATTAATATGTCCTGAAAAAATTAGGATTTTTCATGCCAAAGAACACTTAAAGAAATTCATGACCACCAAGCCAGCATTGCAGGAAGTACTCAAGAAAATCCTAGACAGAAACAGTGAGGCCAGCATCAACGAAGAGTCCAAAAGAAAGAATACATCTAAATACCTAACTTAGAGAGTAGTTAAATAAAAGGGGGGAAAAGAAATGAACAATGAAAAAATAATGTAATGACAGGATTCAGTAAATACCTTTCAGTAATAACTCTCAATGTAAATGATCTTAACCCTCAATCAAAAGACACAGACTGGCAAATTATATCAAAAAACAAAACCCAACTACACGGTGCCTATAAGAGACACACCTCATCCACAAAGAAATATATACTAAAAGTAAAAGAGTAGAAAGTGATTCTCCATGCAACCAAAGCCTAAAAGCAATCAAGAATAGCTATTCCATTTTTAGACAAAATCAACTTCCTGCCAAAACTGATCAGAAAAGACAAAGTAGGTCACTACATACTGGCAAAGGGAATAATTCAACAGGAAGAGGTAGTGATTGTAAATATATATGCACCAAATGCCAGCATACCCAATTTAATAAAACAAATACTACGTGGACATAAAAGGTCAGATAAACATCAATATAATAATTGTGGGGGATTATAGTACCTCACTAACACAAATAAATGAGTCAAATAGAGAAATATCAGTTTTGAACTATATCATCAAACAAATCAACTTAACAGATACCATAGTTTTTCATCCAAAACAATAGAATATACATTTTTTTCAGCAGCATGTAGAACTTTTTCCAAAATAGATCACATCTTAGGCCATAAAATCATGCTTAAATAAGTACAAAAGAATTAATTTCCTGCATATAGGATCATAGGAGAATGAAACTAGAAATCAATAGCAAGAGAAACCACAGAAACTGTGTAAACAGTTGTAGCTTAAATAATACACTCTTGAATAACCAATGGGTCACAGAAAAAAATCAAGAAAAAATTGGAAGTTTCCTAGAATCAAATGACAATGGCAGCTCAACACAGCAAAACTTACAATTAAAGCAGTTCTGAGAGGGAAGCGTATAGCCATGTATGTTCACATTAGAAAAATAGAGCCATCCCAAATAACTTAATTATGTACCTCAAGGTCCTAGAGAAAGAGAACTATCCAAATCCAAATCCAAAACTTCTAGAAGAAAAGAAATGCAGATCAGCATGTAAATCCATGAAATTAAGACTAAAAAATACAAAGTATTAATGAATTAAAGAGTTGATTCTTTGAAAAGATAAATAAGGTTGATAAACCATTAGCCAAACTTACCAAAAGCAGGAATGAAAGGACTCATCACTGGAATTAGAAATGAAAAAGGTGTAGTCACAACAGACACTGCAGAAATCTAGATGTCTATAAGAAACTATTTCAAGTGCTTATATTCCAGTAACTTGGAGAATCTAGGAGAAATAGATCAATTCCTAGACACATATGGATTACCAAACTAAACCAAGAAAATATAAAAACCCTAAGCAGACCAATAATTGTCAAGAAATAGAGACAGCAATAAAATCTCTGCCAACTAAGAAAAAACCCAGGATCTGATGGATTCACCACTGAATTTTACCAAAACTTCAAAGAAAAGCTAATACCAATACTATTCAAAGTCTTTCATGAAATTGAAAGGGAAAGAACACTGTCAAACTCATACCCTGATGCCAAAACCAGACAAGTACTCAATACAAAAAGAAAACTACCTATCTCCTTAATGAATACCTCAAAAATTCTCAAAAAGATGCTTGCAAACAGAATGCAGCAAATCATTAGAAAGGTGATATATCATGACCAACTTGGCTTCATCCCAAGGATGTAAAGATGATTCGATATATGTAAACCAATAAACAGATGTAAGGATAAAAATTACATGTTCATCTCAGAAGATACAGTTAAAGCCTTTGACAAATCCAACATCCATTCATGATGAAAAAAATCCTGAAGAAAATAGATATAGAAACTGATAAAGTCTATTTATGACAAGCCAACTGCCAACATCATACTAAATGGGGTAAAACTAAACGCATCCCTGCTAAATTCATGTACATGACAAAGGTGTTCATAATTACCACTCCTGTTTAATATAGCACTCAAAACTTTAGCCAGAGCATTCAAGCAAGAGAAAGAAATAAAAGGAATATGTATAGGGAAGGAAGAAGTCAAACTATCCTTATTTGAAGAAGACATGATCCTTATACAGATTTGAAATACAGTAGAACTAATAAACAAATTCAGCAAAGTGATGGGGTACAAAACCAACACACAAAAATCAATCTCATACCTCTACACCAACAATGACAAAAACTAAGGAAAACCATCTCACAATATTGACAATATCTTAAAAATTAAATGTCTAGGAATTAACCACAGAAGTGAAAGACCCCTACAATGAAAATTACAGTATATTGAAAAAAGAGATTGAAGAGGACATTAGAAAATAAAGACATATCCTATTCTTGCAGAGCCAACCAATATTGTCAAATGGCTACAATACCAAAAATGATATATAATTTAATGCAATTGCAACCAAAACACAAACAGTATTTTTAACAGAACTAAAAAATTTCAAAGAAATGTATATGTAATAAGAAGAGTAAAAGTATTCCTGGGAAATAAGAGCAAAATAGAGGGGCTGGGGATTTAGCTCAGCGGCAAAAGCGCCTGCCTGGCAAGCGCAAGGTCATGAGTTCGGTTCCCGGTACCGGAGAAAAACCAAAAAAAAAAAAAAAAAAAAAAAAAAGAGCAAAATAGAAGGCAACACAATCCTAGGTTTCAAGTTGTATTAAAAAGCTACAGTGATAAAAACAGCATGATACTGGCACAAAAATAGACATGTGGATCAATGGAACAGAGTAAGTATGCAGAAATAATCCCAGGCACAGTCAACCATCTTATCTTTGTCAAAAAGTCCACTCACATATGCTAAACCAGGCATAGGGGCACGCACCTGTAATCTGAGCACTTGGTAGGCTGAGGCAGGAGGATCCTTGCAAGTTCAAGGCCAGCCTGGGCTACAAAGTGAGCCCAAGACCAGCTTGAACTGCATACCCAGACCCTGTCTCAAAAAGACCAAAACAAAACAAAACAAAAACTTAACATATAATGAAGAAGAGGTATCTTCTTTAGCAAATGGTGCTGGGAAACTGGTTATCCACATGCAGAAGAATGAATTGAGACCCACATCTCTTACCCTACACTGAAGTCAAATCAAAATAGACCAAAGACATCTATATAAAAATAGAAACACTGAAACTACTGGAAGAAAAAGCTGGTGAAACTCTTAAAGACATAGGCATGAGTAAAGACTCCCTGAACAAAACCCCAGTTGTAGAAGTTATAATACCCAAAAGAAAAAATTGGAGAATATCAAATTTTAAAACTTCTGCACAGGAAAGAAAACAACCAAGAGAGTGAAAAGACAACTTACAGAATGGCTGCCAGCCTCTCCTTTGACAGGGCTCAAAAAAAAAAAAAAACATAAAGAACTCAAAAAAAAAAATTAAGCCTTCTGAAATAAAAGACCCAAACAAAAAGTTGACAATCAAAGTAAACAGACACTTCTCAAAAAAGAAGTACATATAGCCAATAAGTATGTAAAAAAAGGTTCAGCATCTTTGGCCACTAGAGAAATGCAAATCAAAACAATACTGAGATTCCATTTTACTCCAGTAAGAATGGCTGTCATGAAGGTTTACAAAAAACAATGAAATGATCACAAAGTTATGATGAAAAGTAACTTTTCTACATTGTTGGTGATAATGTAAAGTAGTACAGCCACTATGGAAATCAGTGTGGAGATTCCTCAAAAACTAAAAATAGAAATTCCACCTGATGCAGCTATACCTCTTCTAGGTATCTGCTGAAAAAATTAGTCATTATTACATTATTTTGGTGGTGTAGGTTGGTCTGTAGAGCAGGATTAGACCAACTTGAATCTTGTTAGACTCATGGTGAGTGGCAGATAGCACACACTAAATTTTAATTATATACTACAGGACCACACACCTTGTTCTGTCATGAATTTAGGGAAACAAAATGGTCTAATTTTGGACCTAAAATGGCCTAATTACCACTAATAATGTAATTAGTCAATATTACAGTGACATATGCATACCCATGTTTATAGCAACATTATAATAGCTAAATTATGGAAGCAGTTTATTTGCCCATCTATAGATAAATGGGTAAAGAAAATGTAGTAGATGCTACTCAGCATGAAGAGGGATTAATTTAGCTGGGTGTGGTGGCACAGGCCTGTAATCCCAACACTCAGGAGGCTGAGGCAGGAGGATTTCTGTGAGTTTGAGGCCAACCTGGGCTACATAGGGAGTTCAAGGTCAACCTGAACTATATAACAAGACCCTGTCTCAAAAATATAAAAAAGGGGAATTAATTTACGTCATTTGTAGGAAAATGTGTGTATCTTGAGACTATAATACTAAGTGAAATAAATCAGACACAGAAGGTTAAATCACATGGTTTCTCTAACATGGGAAACCCAAAATATAAATAATTTTAAAATAAAAAGATGTGGTAGGGCACAGGGCCCCAGACTCTGTAAAGATAGAAATGGGGGGAGGGGTAAAAAACTATCAAAATGCAATATGTATATGTACCAATTCTCCAATATGAATGTAATTATTATTTATTGCAAATACATACCAATAAAAGGTGCTAATTTGGTTTTTTTTTTTATTTAACCATAGGAAGCCACACTTCACTCTCTGGAAAGACACTCCCGTGAGTTTTGTTATGTTTCCATAATGAACAAAGGAACAACTGTCACCCAGTTCTCCCAAGGTCCTATGCATAAGTAGACTCTCTAGTCATGTTTGTGTCCAGCATTAACCTCAGCTGTTCAATACCTTACTGGTTCAAAGCACTGTTTTGAGAAAGTGGCTGAGGAGTCAGGTGCAAAATCATCATAACTCCAACTCTTACCTAACAAGTACGAATGAGTCTGAAGACTTTCCTAAAGCCACCTGTGGTGAAAGGCCATTTTGTTTCCCTAAATTCATGACAGAGCAAGGTGTGTGGTCCTGTAGTATATAATTAAAATTTAGTGTGTGCTATCTGCCACTCACTATGAATCTAACAAGATTCAAGTTGGCCTAATCCTGTTCTATAGACCAACCTACACCACTGATATTATCAAATTCCTAAAAAGCTTGGTAAACATCTACTCTACATTTCTGTATTTAATATACCATGCACCTATAGCAAACAGTTCACCAGCTGGTACTAGTCTAGGAAACACTCTAAAAAGCACTGTGCTAAAAGATCTCATTTTGTAATTATGGATAGCTTATAAACTTTAATAAGTATAATAATACCAATAATAATTAGGCATTGTCCTCTGGCTTGAGGGAATGAGACCTTAGTTTCAATTTCCTCTTATAGAAGTCTTTCGTAAAAATAGAGCTGATCCCAGTGACCTGGAAGGATATGAACCTTCCAACTGAGACCATATAGTCTTTGCACTGTTTTCCTACCATGCAATATGGAAGAATGGGTAGAAATCAACATCCCTGCCAGGAATGGTGGCCTGTAAGCCCAGCATTTGGGAGGCTGAGGAAGAGGATAGCTGTGAGTTTGAGGCCAGCCTGGGCTACACAGTGAGGCCGTCTCAAAACACAAAACAAACAAGCACAAAAGAACTCAGTATTCCTGCTCTATGTGGATCTCTTACTACTGTTGAAATCATGCTATGCTATTGAACACTACGCATAAGATCTAGCCCAGAGAACAGGACACTGAGTATCTGTGAAGGCCTGGCATTCTCAGTGTCAGTGATCTGGAGAACAGAGAGTTCCTTCTAGAAGCCAGAACTCCAGAAGTTCTGGAGTTGGAAAAAGCCATTTTACTATGGCCTTGTGATTAGACTGTGAAGACTTTTCCAGACCTCACTACACATGTGTGTGTCCACTATGGGGAACTGGATCAATATCCAGGATGGATAGGTCCTAAACTAGTTTTTTTGGATTTTTGAGACAGAGTCTCACTAGAATTACAGGTGTGCACCACCATGCCCAGTCTAAGCTAGTCATATTTAAATGAGCAGGGGAGATAGGTTTATAATGCACTGGGTCTGATAATACCAAAAGCTACCCATCACTGACAACATTAGGTTCAGACATTTTATTATAAATACTATCTCATAAAATTTCCCCCAAAACATGCAAGGTAACTAGTCCATTTTCTGTTGCTATAACAAAACACCTAAGACTGGATAATTTATAAAGAATAGAAGCTTATTTGGCTCACCATTCTAGAGGTCAAGAAGTCCAAGGGCACGGCACTTGTATCTTCTTGCATCTGATGAAGGCCTTCTTGCTGCAGTAAGATGTGACAGAGGGCATCATATGACAAGACAAAGCAAGAAATAACTCACTTTATAATACCACCACTCCTACAATAGCTCATTAATCCATTAATCCATAAGTGGATTAATCCATTAGTAACAGTAAAACATTCAGACCAATCACCTCTCAAAAGTCCAGCTTCTCTAAATTCCCACACTGGGAACTACGTTTGCAACACATGAGCTTTTTGAGAATACATTTGAATGATAGCAGTAATCTACTTGCAAGATTGATTGCTATGTTCTTTAGAACGATAAGGAAACCAAGCCACTAGAAGCCAAATGACCACCTACCTCTACCTTCTACCATGAGGTTTTACAGGTAGTGGCTCTGTGATTTTATTTTTTATCTGGTGGCTTTCTGATGTGTAAGATTCTATTTGTGTGATCGAACCATCTCTCAATTCTGGGACAGGGTCTTTAGGGTATTGCTGTATGGGTAGGGTGGAGTCTTAGGGTTATGGGCATGTAGCATCCTCTTTCCCACCATTCTAACTTGGCTTGATGGAGGCCGGGGTCCTCATGAGAGGGCCTCAGGAGACAGTCAGGCACAGAGAAACATACTCCTACACACTCACACACACACACATACACGCAGACACAAAGATTGTCACTCAAGTTCCACATCTGGTGTATTCAAGTTTTGTTTTTATTAATGTCCTATACCCCTCCCCCACCACCTTTTGCGAGAATCAATTAATAATTATATATGCTATATATGGCATCTGCTAGATGTACAGCTACCTGTTCAATGACATGTAGAACACAAATCTGACGCTGGGCTCACATCAGACCTATTAAGTCAAAGTCTCTGGGGATCAGGCCTGGCATTGGTGTTTAAAGTTTGCTGGGGATAAAGACCAGTGTCCCACACCATTTGGGGTCAAACATATAGGTGACAACTGTATTCTACTCTTTTCCCTTCTGAAGCACTCTCTCCTCCACATCTTTGCTCCACAAAAACCTCACAATCAATACTGTCATCATTCCCCCATAACTTCACCAAGTACATGTCTGTAGAAATGTACTATTCAGTCACCACCTGAATTTCATTATGCAATTTGAAATTGCTAAAGCAATTTGCCAACTATTTTGAAATATAAAGAGTGGATCTTTCAGACAGACAAAAATACCTATATTATAGGACTACAAAAGGGTCTGATACAGTTATACAATTGAATAGATAAGCAAATCTACCATCCTACCCAGAAAGCTAGTTATTTAATTTAAAAAAAAAACAAGTGTACAGTCTTTTATATCCATGTATAGAGAGTTATACTGATCCTAGAAAGCATATTATGTTGAAAAAGTAAATAATGGCATTTCTTTCTAATTTGCATTTTTAAGAGAACAGAAAAGTCTTTTAGAGTTTGGTGTATCATACTGTTTGAAAAACAGACAAAATTATAACACTGTATGTTGTGGTGCCACAATAATGTCACATCCTAGAAAATGAACTAAACCTAAGTGTGCATAGTCTATTCGGTGTAGACGGCAAAGCAATAAGCTGTAGAATATGTAATAAATGACATTAACCTCCTGTGCCCTGGCCACTCAGTTCATGGAAAGAGAAAATTATAAAACATTCCACAGATGCCCTTTGGCTGTCTGAGCTTTTATGAACTTAGAAAGAGGCTTTATTCTGAAAAACCCAGAAATGCAGTAGAGCATAATGAATGAAGATAAGCCTCAAGGTACTTCCGAGACTGCCAGGGTATGTACCACGGAGCTGCAATGGTAATCACAGCCATCGTTTCAGAAAATAAAATTTCCAGTGAATGCACGAATCTAGTGAGCCGAGAAATGTGGACTCTTCCCAGGAAACGTGGTAGGAGTCTTATTTACACACTGTGCCGTAACTTCTGTTTTGTCCTTTAAAATCAGTGAGGTAGGGCAAGGAACAAGCCAGATGCCAAGATGAGGACGATAAGCTGGGCCACCTGCAGGTGCTGATCCTGGGGTGCAGTTGCAGGTTGGTTCTCAGCCTGGAACCAAACTGAGAGTGGGTCAGCTGTGTCCCTCTTCCTAACTTCCAGGTCATGTATTTTGGAATCATGTTTCAGACGCTCTGTCCTCCACCATGGCCCTTCCTGGAAGTTCCTCATGAGCCTGGACCTGCTCCACCTCCTCTGCTGCCCTCTCCTCCCACTGCCAACCCTCTTTCTGATCCTTCAGGACCAAAATGGCAAATACTAACTGAAATAAGCCACTTGTGACGATGGCAAAGGAGAGAGCCACACCCCGCTTCATGTCCTTCCTGGAACATCAGAATGTGACTCTATTTGGAAATAGGATCGTTGCAGGTATGTAGGATGGGGGTCATAGAGTGAGGCAGACTCAATCCAACATGACTGGTATCCTCAAAAGGAGAGGAGAAGGGACAGAGAGACAGACACACAAAGGCAGTGTGAAGAGACACATGGTTACAGGGCAGAACACTGAGGATTGCTAGGAACCACCGCAGGTTAAAAGAGACACAGAAAGATTCCCACCCAAATGCCTCAGTGGACCACCATGGCCCCACCAATACTTTAATTTTGAACTTCTGGTCTTCCAAACGCTAAGAGAATGAATTTCTGTTGTTTTAATCACCCAGTGTGTGGTACCTGAATACACCAGCTCTAGAAGCTAAACTAGAGCATTCAGAAGCAAATGTGTGTCCTGATGCTAACTGTGCCCTCCCACAAAATTGCAGTGGAAAATAAGTTTCGTATCCAGTGACAATTTACGTTGCTCCCCTGGGCCACTTACCTGTCTCTGTGAGAATACCTCTGAGGCCATGTCCTAGTTCAGCAAGGAACTGTGTTCTTGAGCATATAGTAGTGTCACCTGCCATGAGCCCATGAACAAGAGCAACAGCCTCATGCCCTGTCCCACCAGCCCCACAGGCAGCACCTCCCAAGGCTTGCAGTCTCAGCACCCATGTCATAGTGCATGGCCCCTGGCCATCTGGTACCCTACCATATCATTTTCGATTGTTCACTTGGTGGGGGGGGTGAACATATAATAAAACGCTTAGAATTAGGAGTAATCTTTTTCAAATGCCAATGATCTAAAAATATAATGTTAAAAAATGGAATAGTTAATTCTTATACAAATGCAATGAAGCCTGTTGATTCCTTAATTAATGGAAACTGGACCCAGGACCTAGTGAGTAAGTCAAGAAACTAGAAAAGAGTCCTGAAAAAAAGGACTAGCTTTTAAAAGTGTGAAAATTTAAAATATGAAGTCAAAGAGGTTTCAGAACATTTATAGAAAAAAGATTTTAATCAGGTTTTAGATTATAAGATCTCAGAAGAAAAACAGAATGGATTTGGCTTTCTGTATTAGCTTGGTATCCCAGTACCTAGTATAGTATCTGGCAAGCAGTTCATCTAATGAATAAATTCATGACTACATATGCTAATTTTTTAAAAAATGCATAAAGATAGTTAAACACCAAATGGCATTTGGACCCAAAAATATCATCTTGATAAGCTGTAACTATTTCATACTTTTTCTACACAGAGTGAGCCAGTGATACAGTCTTGTGTTAGGATCCAGCCCCTCCTTGGGACTGTCCCTGCAGCAAATGCTGGCACAGTACCCACTGTACGCATACACTATGTCTGACCATTCCAAAGCAAAGTGGAAGCATCAGCCAGTGTCTGCACAGAGAACTCCTCCCCATCACAGCCCTCACACGTTCTTCAAAACCTTGACCCACCCCAGCCTCTTTCATAAATCTGGTTTTCAGATTCAGTAAGCTCTTGCTCACTCAATTCCCTCTGCCTAAAGTTGGGAGGGTACAGGCAAGAGTTCCAATTCACACTGTGAATAAGGTGTGAATCATGGTGTAATTGGGAAGAACCCCGAGTGCACGCCGTCTTCCTTCAGGGAGAATAAGTGTTTGCAATAAATTAACCGAGCTTGTTTAAAAAGCTGAACTGTTTGTTTGCCCCAATATCTAACTTTCCAGATGTCTCATTTCCCCTGAGCGTGGTTAGAATGGCCAGAATTGAAATGAAGTGTTAATCAGACAAGCAAAAGGACAGGATGATGGTTCTGTTGGCAGGATCAAGACTAATGACTTCCTTCCCAAGGGTTTTAGTAAATTTTCTGAGTGTGCATGAGAAATTAGAATGGGGTGTAGGGAGTTTTACTAATAGGGACCATTTGCCTGATATGATCAAGAAAACATAGGGATCATGTTTATTTATGGACTCTTTAAACTACCTCGTGACACTCCCCAAGCTGTAGTCAGTTAGCTGATCCTTCTGGCATTAAATGGCATCCTAAGCTATTCAGAAAGACTTGAATCAATACATTTATTTTTCTGGGAAATAAGTAGCAGCCTCAGCAGACCATTCCTGGGTTTTATGGAGTGCACATCTCCATCTGGCCTGTGAGCTCTTATGCACCTGCTGCTATACTGGTAACACGGTATGTGTGCACTAGAATAAGCAAACTGCTATGGCAGACACCCAAAATATATAACAGCTCCACTAGCAGGGCCACTCATCCATGTTCACATATTAGTTCTGGATAGGTGGACACCCCTCCTCCATGCACTCAGATCAAAACAAGTCCAAGTTCATGAAACCTGTGCCATATTCAATTCTTCAAATTGAAAGTCAAGCAATTTTCAAGGAAGTACTCTCTGCAGAAATGAACCCTTCAGGAAAGGCAAATGGCATTTTATAGACCAGGCTGAAAGTGGCACACACCCTTTCTGCTCACTTTTTATTGGGTAAGGCTCAGTCATATGGGCCACTCCTAACAACAGAGGAACCTGGAAAATTAAGTTTAGCTATGTGCCCAAGGAAAAAAGCCAAGCCAAGGTCTGAACAATAGTGATTTATGAGATTATGGATTAACTCTGAACCTTATTCCCCACTTTCAATAAAGGCATACCATTTTGAACAATACAGGACATAAGAGATCTATCATGAGTATCTTTAAGTTGTATTTTCAGGGCTGTACTTAACAAAAAC